GGTGCTTTGAAGGCTTTTATTTTTGCAAGGGCAGTTCACACTTCTTTGGTATTTATTTCATTCATATTGGAATTAATATAAAATAGATACAAGATGATCTATCTGATGCTAGTAAGGACTGCATTTCTTGTATAGTTCTTGTTTTCTACTTGACTCGTAATTACATTCACTTCAGAAACACTGTTAAACCAACTGACTAATACAGGATACAATTCATACTGTATAACCATCAATACACTTTAAAGGGAAGGGGTCGATATGACCACACTATTATCTGTCAAAGTTGCAATCATTAATTAGAGATACTACTTATTGTCATTAACTTGACACAGGACTCAGTCTGTAAATGTGATTTCACTTACATCGATGCACCAATAAGGATTTATCAACATTCAATCAGAATCAATGTCCATCAATGGGTTGTTAATGTAATTGTCAGTCAGATAAAGGTCACACACACATAGCCCTGGTAAACTGAGATTTGAAATGATAAACTCACAATAAATAATACTTAAAGATGTTGTTTACCCTTGATGTTGCTTATTTAGCCTTGAATATTTGATGCTGTAAGGATATACTTTGAATTGAAGCCAAGGTTTCAGGTGCTTTAAATAACCCCCTGCATTTCTCTCAATAATGAACTTAGCAATGTGTTTGTTGACCGACTACTTGCTGTCCTGCGGCTGTCCAGGGAACCGACAGAGACAGTAATCCTCACAGAAAAAACAGGGGGGATATTCTATAACAGTGCCTGCCACCACTGCAGATATTTATAGATGATTGTCCCACTGAACACTAAGTGATGGCCAAACAGAGAGAGCAGTGAGACACAGAGCAGGTTGAAGAGGGAGAGAACTTCATATGGCAGCGCACAACACAAGGCAGCTAACTTACAACTAACTTCATGTTGGTCAGGGGATGATCAAAATCTTTAACTGAGGACATTTGTCAACTTTCAAATGTGACAAAGTAAAAATAAAGGGATCCAAATATGATGATATCAGACTTTCACAATGGAATATACATTATGTAGCCTCAATCTAAACCCAAAGACTGTGGGATACATGACTCAACCAGTCTGATGAGAGGTCAGAAGCTCTCGTTTCTTTCCTGGAAGCTCTCTGTTATCCAGAGATTTACATTCCAGAGACCACTTCAGTCCCCTGCTGTGGGGATTATCAGGGAGAGAACAATATCATTCATACTATGTCAGATACTTGTATCAACAGTATGTTAATCCTGTGCTTTCTCCCCAACATACATGAGATGCTCAAGAGCATTAATCAAAACTATACTTTACGAACCAAATGTATTTTGAGCATGACAAAGGATTGCCTATTTGCCTTGACATCTGATTTAAACATTTAAATGGCTTTGTTGTGGTCTAGTTAGAAAACATCCTTGAAAAGTCAAGATCTTACATAAAGCATTTGATCAAATATATCCCTGAAGCTTCCACTGGTATTGGATAAGGGTAAATTGTTAATCGGTTAACAATCTAAGACAATAGGCTTATGGCTTTGGGAAATATGTAACATAATAATTATTTCTGTATTTGTATATACACAGATATTGGCAGTTGAAAGCCAGAACGAATTCAAAGTAAAAGTTTGAACATTGTGCAAGAGATATAGAAGCTAAAATAGAGTATAAAGTCACCCCCGAGTGGAGATAGTCGCACTTAGATAAAAAGATAGAAACAAAGATACGTGATGGAAGTTAAAGTAAATTAAATCTTGAAAACCTCAGACCTGCTCCTTTAATTCTGCCTCAGGTTAATGAGATAGCCCTCCATGGCTCTGGAGAGTCGACACAGAGCGAAAGAATGACACTGCCACTTTCCTAATATAGACATGACAAACTGCACTGTCCCACCCGGGCCACTCCTCCCCCCCACAACCTCTCCGAAATAGTCCCAGAATGAAGACTCTCTGTGTGTCACTTTATCATTAATAAACCGGATCGTAAATATAAACTACACAAACACACATAAACACAGGAACATAGGCTGGCAGGTGCGTGGGAGGTGTGAGGGAGGGAGAGGGGGGAGGTTAATGTGCAACGTGCTTCTTAAAGTGCAGCTGCCATGCACGACTCAAGATCTGCTCCTTCACAGGAAAAGTGCATTCTCACCATGTCCGACTCTGTATTTTTATGTTTTTTTTGGTGGGGTGGCACTCCGTCCTCCCCAGCAGTGCAGTGGAGAAGCTGACGCACCTCTCCTCCCCCCCACTGCAGCACCGACACTCATACTAGGAAAGATAGCCCACACAGCTCACCTCAGGTTTTTGGGGAGACCCCTTGTCCCTGGTTCCCGGTTTCGGTTGTGTGGTCTCGCTCCTGCTGCTCCACTGCTGGTATTCCTTTGAATGATAGTCCCTGCGAACCGGTGGAGTTTCTGAGGAGACGCACTGGACAACTACGTGACGCTCCTCGACAGGAAAGAAACGGTACCGGGGCAGAGCAGGGGGAGAGGAGGGTGTGCAGGGAGAGAGGGGTGGGTGTGGGGTGGGTGGTTGCCGCTGTCTATTTTGGAACAGGCTCTGTCAGTGCGGGAAACGTGACTCGCGCCGGTTACAGGGGCCCAGGCCCGGGGGTCAGTGTCACAACTGTGGAGGTCTCTAATATAGTGACTTAAAGGACAGTGGGACATTAACCCTGATATTAACAGTTTGTTTGCAAGATGTCATGAGTTCAGAGTTCATGTTTGTCACCAGAGGTGGAAGAAGTACTCAGGTGTTGTTGTTGTTGTTGTTGTTGTTGTTGTAAAAGTAGAAGTAGGCTACCAGAGTGTAGGAATACTCTGTTATAAGTAAAAGTCCTGCATTCAAAATGATACTTAAGTAAAAGTACAAAAGTATTAGCAGCAAAGTACTCATTATGAACAATGGGCCATTTCTGAATTATATTATATATTTTTATCATAATGATTGATGCATTGAAGTTTTTATCATAGCTAAGGCGCAGCACATTTAGATTTCTTTGTATACCTCAGTTTAGCTTGTGAATTTACTCCAGGTTTAGAAAAAAACCTTTATTTTAGTGTTGATTGTATTTCATATCATCAACCCAAATATGCAAAGTAACTAAAGGTATTACATATATAGTAAAAGCACACTATTGAACTCTGAATTGCAGAGGAGTAAAGGGACAAAGTAAAACATTGAAATACTCACGTAAAGTACAAGTCCCTCAAAATTGTATAAGTACAGTACTTGAGTAAATCTACTTAGTTACTTTACACCCCTGTTTGTCACATGATCAACCGTACTGTACTTTATATGAGTTTTCAGTGATAAGATGTTTACAAACAATACATTCATAAAACAATAATCTTGAGGTTTCCATTTTCCCTTTTGTAGCTCATACTGCTGCAGCTACTTGTTTTGAGCACATTTGTATAGTATTTAAATTAAACCCTGAATGGATATTTGTTTCACTAAAACTACATTTGGGTTTGGATTTAAATAAATGCAAACGATTTTCCTGCTGGCTTAACCTGCAGTTTTCCCCAATAAAGTTTTAAGGATAAAAGTTTCCATTGAAACTACTTCCTATTTTAAAACAAATACTAAACTTAAGTAAAATAGATCATACTCACCTCTTATAATGAAAAACACTCCCGATGCTGTACAAAACATTGAGAAGTTAACCATAGGTGAAATAAATTAGTGTTAACACATTCACAGTGAATGTGCCCTGACATTGGTCCATTAAGCAGAGCAGAACTGGTCCTAACTACATACATGTAGAGATGTTCTGCTATAATCCATGTTATCGTTATCATATTGTAATTGAATATCTTCAGCTTTGAACTGTCAGTCAACACAAATAAGCAAGTTAAAGATGTGTCCCAAGGTTTGGAATGTGTATAATTTCTTCACCATTTTTGGACATTTCATAGACTAAACAATTCGAATCTATAAGTCTTTGATTAATTAAAAAAATACATCTTGTCTTTACTTACATTACTGTAAAAACACTCACACAAAATATTCAATACTTTCCATTGTTTAATGGTCACAGTTGGAGCACATGATATAAAAGAATATTTACACTGATAGTTTAAAATAAAACAAATTAAAAACTCAAGTTTTTGACAATAGACACCCATACCCAACAGCTGCTACTACCTAAGCATGCTCCCCAAAAGTAGCAACCATACATTTAAAAAAAATAAGCCACACTAAAAAGAAAAAGGGAGTAAAGTGCATGTATGACAGACCTCCCTGTACAGACATTTTTGATAGACTGCAGAGAAGCCTCATTTGCCAGTCACAGGCACACTCCTAAAATGTGTATTAAGAGATTAATTAAAAACAAAAAAAGTACACACCCACATAGTAAAATTGTGCTGCAGTCGCACTCACACACAGTCACAAACCAGATATAAAAACATGTACAGTTCCAAAAATGTTCAACACTCACAATATAGACCTTTACATCCCAAAGAGAACATCGCAGAAACCTCACAAATACACACTCTGCTTTCAGCCCCCAGCCCCTAAACTACCCTTCTCCCACACAGTAACACATACATAACATGTCTAGTTTGAGTGGCATCAGAACTGAGAAAGGACGTAAGAGAGACGAGAATAATTCACCTCGAGCAGTGAAGTGGAAATTGTTTCTGAGTCGGAAACATTCCAGGAATCCAGAGTCTGACGTTCATTAAGGTGAGATATGGTTCAGACTTACTGAGGTATTCTATAGTCAAAACAAATATATATATTAAAAAAAAAAGCATACCTCTTTTCCTTTGCATTTTGTTTCATAAAAACAACTATGCAGTCATTTTCTGTTGATGTTCCTGTGTCTTTGGGTCGACTTGAGCTCTTTGTGCTTAGATGTGCAGCTGTTAGCACAACCCATGTTAATAATCAGTCCCTAGAGAGCAGAATTGTCCTTGCTTGGTATTGTCACTGCTTTTCTGCCAAACTTGAGAAGTGTGTTATAGCCTTAGATTGATGTAGAGTACATTATTTACCGTCAGATTGTACTGGCTGTATCATTTGTTTGGCAGTTACCCAGCACAAATAGCAAAAACTGATGCAGAGAAGCATAAGGAAAGAGGAAAGAAAATAAACTACATTCCACCTAACACCAGGTCGGACAATCCAAAAAACCAACAGCGATCAGGAACCAGCAATGGTGAAGGGAGTGAATATGTGCAGGCTCAGGTGTATAACAATTGAAACAAGATATTTATTTTGATGACTGTTTTAGGAAGTGTTTACACATCACAGCGCTTCTTCCAATTTGACTCAAGTTTTATTACCAATTGACCGGACCCTTCATAGCCTTGTCACTGTTCTTGCACTGAGAAAAGTCTGATATGTCAGATATCACAGAGGCCCTCAGCAGATCTACAGAGAAAAATGTACAGACAAATGTGATCATATCCTTTAAGGCAAGAGGCATTGGTTTGTTTTACTGAATAAATCCAACATGTATGCACTTGATTTCTATTTCTCACAGGTGTGCATAATCCCTCTCGCTCTCGCACACACAAACACACACACACACAAACACACCCACACATAGAGACGGACACAGTGAGGGTTAAATGGTATGGTAAACAGTACTAGTTCTTTTCTTGAGCTGATTCAGGGGGTGAGTCCTTCCATACTGCTGCCTTGTTGCCGTGAGTGACAGCCCATGTGAGTCGGGAGAGACTTGGTCAGCGTTAGGCAGTTCTCCTTTCTGCGGACTGGATTGTGGAGAGACTCCTGGTGAGGTTTCTCCAGCTTCAGAAAGCCTCTCCTCTCCAGTCTCAATGTCTTCCGTCTGCTGTTCGGCTGAGGAAGACGATTTGTGGACGCGCTGCTTCTTGGACTCATCGCTGGTTGTGTGGGTCTCGGGCTCTGCGGAGGACGGGGCTACGGACGAGCGGCTGATCTCCCACTCACTCAGGTCGTTGGCCAGCAGCTCCAGGCAACCCAGTTTGGCCAGAGAGGCCGAGCGCTTCATCAGGGATGGAGGGGTCAGTCCCGCCTGGCGAATCCTTGCCTCCACCTCTTTGACCCTCTTCTGGTTGCCTACACCTCGTTTCTGGGTGGTTCCGGCGCTGAGGCCGAACACCTGGTCCACGCAGCGGGCCTTGCAGCCTCCCTCCTTGCTCACCTGCTGCAGGAAGGCACCCAGCTCACACAGAGTCTCCCAAGTCTCCCTCATGATAATGTCACAATGAGGTCCCTCTGTAAAACAGTCCCAGTCTGTGGCTGACTCCAAATCTGTCACGCCCTCCAAACACAGGAAGTTGACAGAGGCGAAGGGAGAGTGGGCAGAGCGGTGGAAAGAAGAAGAGGTAGAGAGCAATCTTTCAGAAGGATGGAGTTTGTGTCCTTTTGTGCTTACGTCATTATTTCCTAGTGCCCTCATTTCAACTAAATTACCACTGTCCCTTTTAACTGGTCTAAATGCATCCTCATCTCCTTGCACCCGGCTTGAGAGCTGTGAGCCAGCTGATGCATCCTGGGTATTGGACATTGTCACATTATGGACACTGTGTGGACGCTGCTGAGAGCAGGAGGAGCTGCCGGAGAGGGACGGAGGAGATGAGGAGGGCGACGAAGTCTCATGATCCTGTTTCATTCTTTGCTCCAGCTGTCGTGTGACGCGCCGCACGGAGCCCCTCGTCCAATCACTGTACAGACGAGCAGGGGCCGCCTCCTCCTCTTCTTCTTTGTTTTTTACTTCCTCTTTAACATGCTCAGCTTCCTTTTGTGATAAAACATCTTCATCCTTTATTTCCGGCACCGACTTCTTCACATCCTGGTCCTCAGACTCTGAGTGCTCTGCAGGCTTCAGATCTGTGACCTGCACAGGGACGGACATTTCCTACAGAGAAAACATAAATCATAACTCAGTTTAAACGCCAAACAATAGTTTTAATATATCTATATAAAGGTGTTCAAATAACATTCAAGTAAAATGGAGAGTAATGTGACAGATATACTGCATGGAACATACCCTACATAGGCACCAGGTGGCACCATGGACTCAAGAATACAAAAGCTAAACACACAAATTAATGATTTGATACTTACATTTCACCACTATGGCATTATTACACTTCCAAATCGGACATTTCACACAAGCATAGAAAAAGATCCCTACATCTGCACACTTATCTCCAAAAGCAACCAAACTGAGACCTTTGTCAGAGCCTGAGAGTAGCTCTGAGGAAAGTCAGTGACCCTAAGCTTAGACATACTGCTACGTTTACAATGGAAATAAGTGCATTGATTTTGATTTCTTTTCTACAAACACTCCCTCTTACCTTTCTTTTCTCCTCATGCTTCCCCTCATCAGGCAGTGGTTGTTGTTCCTTGCCACAACTCTTCTGCTGGGGCAACTGCTGCACTGCGGCACACTGAGTTTTATCATCTTGACTCATTCCCTTGAACTTCTCTCTGGCACTGAAAAAGTTAATGTGATCTGCGCTGTGGCCGAACAGCAACTCGCCGTCTTGTGGAATGGCACCGTGGTAGCTGACTAAATGACTAGTGGAGGGAGGATGTGCTGGTAAACTGTCCAAAGACAAGCTACACATCTGTTGGTCACAGTCTGTTTTTGGAACAGGCACTGGTGCAGGCAGACTCTGGGGTCCAGCCTGTCGTGTGCTCGGTGTTTGTGTTGTCATGGGCTCAGGCACGGACACTAGCATGGGTTTTGCCACAGGCAGAGAGCAGGACAACAGCTGCGGTTTGATAACCTCATCCGTGCAGACTGGAGTTGGAGTTGGAGATGGAGCAGGGGAGAGGGGGAGGTCTTGGAAGGAGGGAGGTGGGTGAGGCTCGCCAGCTAAAACAGTCTCTGTCACCATGTCAGTCTTGAGAGGCTCCGGCACCACCGTAGCGGCCCTTGGCTCGGAGAGAGGAGGCGATGAGGGCTGCTCCTCAGAGTCAGACACACCGTTGGAGAGCGGAGGAGATAACGGAGACACAGAGCCAGCTGTGGGTTCGGGACAGGGGGGGTCTGATTGGCTGGTTTGGATAACAGCAGAATGAGAAGGAGCCTCCAGCCTTTGAGCTTCAGCATTGCCTTTTATAGCTGCCATCCCCCCAAAGGATGAGGAGCTGAGCTTGGAGTGGATGCCAGTGTCAGGCTGGCTGGTGGAGTGTGTTGCTTTGCGAGTCTTAGCCGAGGTTCCCAGTGAATCCAGCAGTTCTCTCACAGAGGGGCCAGGCTCGCTATCGGCCTGGTTGTGGGGGTCTAAGCGGCCCAGGCTGAGCGGTTGTGCGTGAGATTTAGAGAGCGGCTCATGGTTATCAGACAGGTCGCTGTCAGAGTGAGAACGCCACAGTTTGTTGTGCCTCTGCTTACTGTAGGGGGAAACCAAAAGGATACGATTAGTCTTCTCATGTCACTCCTATAATCTTTATGCAAACACATAGTATAAACATGTACATTTTAGGTTATTTTATCTAAATGTCTTGGGTCACAGATACTAAACTGATATGAAAGCACACTAATGCACAGATCAATAATCAAATAAATACATTTAAATATAAAAAATAATCATAACATTTCTTTCAGCTAATATTGCGTGTGTACATCAGCAGCTGTCAGCCATGTGAGGTAATGACAGTTGCATGTACAGCTTGTTCTGCAGACACATTTAATACATCCCAGAATGCAGTTTTGATTACATATCACATTGCTGATATGCTGAAGGCAAAATTATAAACTCTGCCATAACTACTAAACTGTTCGCAAACTCAAAGAAACCTTTTCTTTCTGGTTCAGAGTATTCATCTACAGAGTGTGCATTGATACATGAATAGCCTGTGCACATCATTAAACAGTATAGCTGCGTTTGACCTTTCTGCTTCATCCACATGGTATTATTAGCCTTAGCAAATCAGGCAGTCCATGCAGTATTGGCATCATGCTACATATACAGATCACATGAAATGTACTTGTGAGTGTTTTTATGAGTACCTGGCCAGCAGTATGCCCTGATACTCCTCCAGCTGTCTCATAAAGGAAGGGTTAGGTTTGGTCACAGTTCGACGCTCCTTGACGAAATCAAAAGCTTTCTTCAGGTCCCATCCGTGCTCCTTCATGGCGTACGCGATCACTGTGGCTGCAGAGCGACTGACGCCCATCTTACAGTGCACCAAACACTTGGAACCGGCTTTCCTGGAGTTCATAAGAATACATTAAGAAGGTTTCAGCATATCATTGTCAACATTTCTGTAAAGTCCCAAGATGAGAAGATATAAACAAAACATGCAGTTGTCAGAAACTCACTTGGCTCTAGTTATAAACTTGAAGGTTTCATTCCAATAGGCAAGAAGGTCAGTGGCCTCTTCATCATACACACGGATGTTGTGGTACTCAAACACACCGGGGAAGAAGTTATCAATCTCCCTGGTTACATTCAAGATGTACTGAACCCTGCATGAGAATAAGAGGATAGATCAGAGAAAGAGAGATGATTGAATGTGCAGTCCGTTTGAATAACAGATATAGAATACTTTAGAAAAAACATTCAGTTTATAAAAAGGGAATTTTGTTAGGGTCCTATCATATGATACATTATGTCTTCATTGACTTCAGTACAGCTTGTTATTTGTTCTGTGTTGTTGTTTGTGTCCCCTTGCTTACCCGCTCTTCTGCAGCTCCTCCAAATTGGATGCATTCCACTCAGATCCCTGTAGGAAACAAAAGCAATCCTCAAGACTAGCTCAGAGCCTTCAACTGAGCTTTTCATAATGCTTCAATCCTGTTGCGAGGCATGCCCGACATCCACTGTGCACTCCAAACCAAACAAGTAACAAAGTACCCTAAAATTGGGAGAAACTTTGACTAACACAAGAAGATCTCAGATTGAACCGGGGTCCCTGACATTGCTTAGAGCATGATTTACAACTAATACTCATATATCTTACTTAAAATCAACTGATACTTTATTTTTAAGTGTTCTTATATGTACGTAACCAGATCAAAATAAATCATAAATGCAGCAATGGTTGCCTGGAGGTGTAATGAGGAACCTACCAAGAAGACGTGATCAAAGATCTCCGTAGGACTGTCCATCTGGCCCAGAATGACGATCATCTCATTGTCGATGTACTCCTTGAACTCTCGCAGGTTGCATGTCATGTGCATCTCCAGCTCTGTTCGGATCTATGGAACACAACCAGACAAAACACACGTTTATTTTAAAACAGCAAACCCAAGCCTCAAATACAGGCATTTACTAAAAGAGTGACTAAAAAGGAACTCCAACCTTTTTTCATGCAATTCCTTAAAAAGAGGGACTTCATAACTCAGTGACATTTGACCAAATATCAGTGATATTCTTTCTGTTTGGAGCATCTTCAAATCCAGCATCTAAGGCGCTGACTCACCTCTTTGCTGGTGACATTCTCAAGATCTTTCTGCATCATGATCTCCCTCAAACTGTTTTTGATCTGACGCTCAGTCAGCTCTCTTTCCGTGGGTCTGCAGAAACACCATGACATTAAAATACATGAATAAATGGAGTAAGTCTTTTTCCTTTATGAAGTGTTGATGCACACATACAGCCTGGTATATGAAGGTTTGCCTTGCTGAACCACTTCATAGGAATGTGCCAAAAAAATATATTCCATATGATCTGGATACTTACGCGTCGGAGAAGAGCACGGGTGAATCTGCACGGTGCGACTGCACATCCTGCATGGCGTTCCACTCGTTGATGCGGGCCTGGTCCGAGTACACCCTGCTTTGATAGTAGCAGACCCAGGTGAGGAACAAGCTACCTGGGAAGTAGTTGTGACAACGAGCCACCTCGCAGGCCTTATGGAGGGACTGGAGGGCCGACCTGCGATTAAGTCATTGAGAGGGAAAATGCATATTTAGAGACAGGAGATGAAGGGGAGAGAGACAAATGACACTTTCAAATAAATAGAAGGGACAGGCTTAAAATACCAAGATGAATACTTGCAAAAGTAAAAGAGCAGATATGGATATCGATGTCTGTGTGACTCACCACATGGCCTGCACAGAAACCGGCTTGAAAACGTGCACTGTGTTATCAGTTGACACACTGAAACCCCTGGGAGAAAGAAGAGAAGAAGGATCGAACATCAAAAAAGGCAGTCAGCCATCTTAGCAGCCTGGTTGTAATTGTGTGTTATCTATGTGATTAAACAGGTTGGATGTTTCCTTACCCATCTCCATCCAGATGTATTAATGTGTCGCTCCACAAGGGCAAAACCATCCCTACAGAACATGAACTGGAGGAAAATAAATCTGTCAGGTTATAACTTAATGCACAAACATGGAGGTAAGTATGAATGTGTTTGTGTTCCTGTCTCACCTATCTACAGGACTGAAATCCATTCCCAGCACCACACTCTCCTCTGTGTCTTGACGACCATTGGTTGAGACCACCACCATGTAGCGGGTGATCTGAGTGTGTGCGCTCTCCAAACGCACCGCCTAGAGCAGGAAAGGAACAGTTTGTGAAGTCTTTACAGGTGATTGACATCTCAGGACATTACTTTTAGTTTTAACTACCGAGTGTACCCACCAGTTTGATGTTGTCCTCTGGTCTGAGGAGAGTGAACATGGTTTGCAGATGCTGTTGGATGTCTCCTGGTAAGATGTGAGTAATAAAACAAATCTTTGATCAGTATCAAGAAGTGCAGTTATCCATAAATGGCAGCATTTTAACCGACAGCTCTATTGAGAGTCAAACAGTCAATTGTCACAATCTCACCTGCATGTTTGCTGCGCAGCTGTGAGAAGCGAGAGGCAGACGAAGGAGAGGAGCCATTTCCTCGAGGTAAGAAGAGAGCAGCCCCTTTAACTGTCAGGAAACTTTCACTAATGCTAGACAGAAAGAGAAAAACAAATAAAGTGATGAGAACCACCCAAAATAGTTTCAAGATTAATCATGGAAAGTGATTTTGTTCCTTTTTTAAGAGGGAGATGAAACGCTTAGTGGAAATAATGCATTTAGTCATCAACGAAAAAGTTAATAGCAACAGCGCATCTTTTTATAAGAAATTGACAATTTAAACCTTTTTAATCAAGTTAAATCACACATTTCCCCATTCTCAGCTTTTCAATTGTACATTTTCAAAGACTTTATATATTTTTTCCATCTCACATTATCATAAACTCAATATTTAGGACTATTAGTCAGGGAGAGAAAAACCAGCTGAATATTCATTAGGATTTTTATTGTTGAAAAATTGATTGTGTTTTAATAATGGTAATTGAATCTTGTGCTTCCTTAGAAAATGCACATACAATCCTGTACAAACATCATATATATAACAATTATGGGAGAGATGTGTGCACCTTATTGAGTTCAAGATCCTTCACTGTGCAGTTTACAACCAATTCCAATAACATGCTGGCTTAACTGGCCGGGACATGTTAAAAACATCAGGAGGCCCATATGTCGTAGAGTAAAAATAACAAAAAACTGTTCTTCACACACAGTTGTTATCATTGTAATCTTTAAGCAATTACAACTTAACTGGCTGTGGCTGAGACTTTAGCACTTTAAAGCTCATAAATGAACAATTACCTGGCATACAATTGGCTATTCCAGCAAAGCTACTTGGTGCTACTGCTCTCTAAACAATCTAGTAATGTAACAGACTTAAGATGCCCAATGTATCCCTTTGATTTTTAAATTGCTTCATTTGTTCTTCAATCACAGATGTAATCAAGCAACAATTACAAGCAAGGATTAACAAGAGCTTTTGGTCCTTGAATTTAGAACAAAGTGGTAGCCTCAATTTGTTATGAAACGATTGAGTGCATATGCGTCACTCCAAACGGAAGGCAATCATACATTGAGTCAGAAAGCTAAGAGAGGACAATAAAAAAAACAGGAAGTCGCATTCTGTCATGAATGCGTGAGGATCAAGGAGAAGAGCATCAGCAGTAATTACAAAAGTCACAATGAAGCAATCTATGCCTTTACAACAGCGGCTTCAAAAAGTATCCCATTACATTTCACCGTTATAAAATAGACATTTGCAACATCCACATATCTGTTGTCACAAACATTTCAAAGAACAGTCTTAAACCACTTCCCACTCACATTTTAAAGAGTCTATATATCATGAATGTGGTCATCAACTAAGGAAATTCTATTACTTAAAAAGGACCAGTCTTATTCACATCTAAAATTAAAATAAAAGCTGGGTGAAGGAGAGTGCGTGTGAACAGATGAGTTTGGCATCTGGCTGACATTTCAGAGGAAGGAAACCTCTTTCTTCAGCCCCTGACTGCTGTCATATCCTTCCCTTTAACTCATCATGGGAAAACCACAAAGCTTTGTCAGATCTCCGTGACAAAATATTGGAAAGCAGGGGATATGAGAATATGCCCCCCCCCCCCCCCACCCTGCTTTCTCAAACTAGGGTTCAAAGTCAGCACAAAAATAAATGTTCCACCAGCTTCACGTAATTGATATTATAATTACTAATAATCAGACTCTGGTACAGCATTCTCACTAATAAGAATACAATAATATGTATACTGGCAATTCATATTATTTTCCGCAGAAAACCTTGGGGCTTCTGAGCACACAGTGTAGAACTTACAGCTGAATAAATATCCCCCTGAGAGATCACGGAGTTCCGGTGAAATAAAGGTCTCATCTCCCCGCGCAGCACGCGCAGAGCAGCCGGCAGTAGAAGGCCTCGGTGGAGCGGAACATAACACCCGGAGGCATCGCTGCTCTGGTGGCGGAGGAAGGGCGCACAGAAGCGGGCCTGTTTCTATCGATAGCTGGCCGTAAAGATGTGGCTGTGGAGGCAGGCGGCACTCCGGCACTGCCAGGGATATTTGCTAAAAAAACGGCAAAAAACTTCTGGTGGATAACTTGAGGTCTAGAATGTAAAGGACACCCGGACTGAGTCAATTATCCGTGAAAACAGGAGGGGTTTTTTTTAAAGCGCGGTGATATAATATTTCAAAAACGGCGACAATGTTTACAATTTAGCACATGCTGTTGCAGAGCAGGTGTCTCCTAAACATCTCGGCTCGTGATAGGGCCTACTGACTGTGGTCTGCAGCAAATGGTCTGCAGCCAGGCTGCGGTAAAAGGGGAGGAGACACACATGCTCCATTCGCTGGGAAACAGCCCGTCCTTCCGAAGGCCTGTATGACAGAGTATTAGTTGCCACAGGTGAAAAGCGGTGGAAACATATTATCATGATAAAACAAGCCCTTTAATCCGAGACAGACACTCTTGAATTACGCTATTTCATTAGATAATGTTACCAACTATCAAGTGTGTGCAGTTGATGATTGCAAGGGCTCACTGGACCAAAAAACTAAACGGTTTTCCCACTGCTTATTTGCCTGTACTGTAATATTGCTGAAAATTAAGAATATGTGGCTAACACAAGGTTTATGATACGAACAGGTATTTTTTCAGCAGGAAAATCCAATCGACAAAAAGTAAATAGGGCTCAACCAAAAATGCTATAAACAAAACTACTCAGTCACATGACTTCACTACATGTATAATAAGTAAATCCTGAACATTTCCCAAAACTTGTTGGTAATCAAACAGGCATCAACGCAGAATCTCTAGGAAACTGCTCGACCTCAAGCGAGGAAACCTGGACATGCTTCAAATATAATAACAGATTATCCTGGTTCCGTGAACATCAAGTTCCCAAAAGTTCCTGTCACATATGAGAAAATACTACCGCATACCGGAAGTGGCAGCTCAAAAAATGCCCCCTTGCATTAAGCTTAGTGTACAGCAGCGGGGGCGGGTGTGTAACACCAAGAAAATCTTCCCTATGGAACATCATTCTGGCAAGCTCAAACACTGATTAGGTATGATTCAGCCATGTATTATGGCCCTAATATCAGGAAACTTCTGATATAAGGTTAACATTATTTTACTCTAAGCTGTCCATCCTTGTAAAGTGTTTGTGCCTTTATTTGAAGGCACAGAAAGAAACAGGTGGAAGGGAGAGAGGGGAAACAAAAAGTCCCTGGACCAAGGAATTGAAACCAGGGGCCATAACATGGCGAGCATGGTTTCATTATCTCAGGCAGTTATAAAGTACATATCACTAGTTTGTAGGCCTAGTGCCATTTTTTAATAACATCCGAGTCAAGTTTTCTTTTTCTCAATATATATTACACAGCAAGCACACTAAAGCAATATGACAACACTTGAACCAAACACCGCACCCCCTGATTAAGGCCATTAAGCTCTACTTCCATGACATAGAAAGGCCATCTTCTGGAAGAAGTGTTGGTCATACACTGATCACACCCATGTGTAGTAGCCCCTGGGCCAAATTTTGTGTAACCAACTCTAGGCTGTAGGGGCCTTTACGGAAATTCAGGAAGCACCTGACACCTTAATGTGGCTTGATCTCCGCAACCCCAGCAAAACAACAACAAAACAAGATAAGAGATTGAGAATCAACAAGGAGACATCAGAGGAACCCCCATGAACTGATGGGAGAAACTTGACCTGGTACGGCTGCTTGTTGATGCCTCGTGGTTTGCAATTAAATGGGATTGATTTACAAAGTACTGGAGGTAGAAGCGTGGAAACGCAACCTGACGTCCCAATTATATGCAACAGGATAAACAAACAACTGCAGCTGCTGTTTTTTCTGTTAGTCCTCTATGCTGCTGGTGGTAAATTGCATAAGTGTGCATGAGGCCTTTGACTCCATGATTAATAGCCAGTGGAGGGAGGGGATGACTGATTCCAGTAGCAAGAATGAAGAAGTCAATAATGTCAAGCATTAAGTGTACATTCAGATGTCAAATTTGCATGTTAGACGGACGCATCAGGAGGCCCCTCTCAATTACTCACCGATTAAAAAGCTTCCTAAATCTGAAAGGTACCAAATCAACCGCAATCCTGTTTCAACTCTCAACAGTTCCACTAACAGGCCTGCCATTTTCCCTTGTCATGATTTCTTATTTAAGCTTCCTTTTCTGACTGACTTCCGTCTCGCAAAAAAATCACTCCATCCCCGCCTAAATCTCCTCTTTAATTAGTCCGTTGTGTAATTTGAATTGTTAGTAGGGCGTTCAATTAATAATGTCAGTAATTTAATGAATGGCAAGTAAAAGGTCCATGGAGATTCTAAACCCCCGATAATTTCCGGCCACAGGTAGAAAAATTGATAACTAGCCTACAGCCTAAATAATAAGTAGCATAACACTATTTGAGGATAGATAGCAGTTGTGGTTGTGGCAGGAATTGTTCGTGACTCGCGTGATCCTAAAACAGTTTATTCTTAACACCAGAGGTTTGTTATGTCGCAAATGTCAAAATGGCTTAAAAGTACAGAAACTTCTAACAAAAAATAAATGCCTCGACATAGCCTTTAAAAACCACAGGCAGGTTAATTTTAGAGAAAACCGGTTATAGAAAATATTAACTTTAAAAAATGGTCAGTACAGGCGTTAGTCCCATTAATGTAAAAAAAGATTTGTACATTGGTTGTAACGCACTATAGGTGTGACGAAACAGTCAATCAAACGAACATTTCAATGGTTTGGTGATGTCGAACCGTCCTGCTTAAAGTTCCATCTTACTGTTTCTCTAATTGTATCTCCTGAAAATTCAACAGCCGTCCAAATGACAAGGGCAGTGAAGGGCGAGGAATGTGGTTGTTAAGGCACGACAGACACCGGACAGCACTCCCTCCTGTTGGCTCCTTACGTCTCCACGTAGACAAACACAATGCCAGTAAACCTAGTGATTACAGACATTAAGCCTAGAACAGCACAGCTATTTCAGGCACTGGTGCTTTAATCTATACATCTGTCCGATGAAGCGCAGGGAATTCGAGCATGAATTTACGCTCCAATGTTTACNC